GTTTGGCCAGAGCTGTGCTTGAGGAAAGCCAGGCCCTTTGCAGGGTCTCATGTTGGAGGCCCATGAGACTCATCAGGTGGTATTGATTTTGGCCCCCTGGTCCAGTGTGGAGTGATGTCTGCACTGTATGCCACTGTTTTTTTTTTTTTTTTTTGTAATCAGCAGTCTTTGGGTGCGCTTTCTTGGGGCAGATTGATGTTGCTTTGTAGCCCAGGCTGGCCTCAGGCTTGCAATTATCCTGTCTGCACTTCCTCAATGCTGGGATTACAGGTGTGCATGCCGTACCAGCCTGTGAGTGACTCTTCAAAGCATGCAGATGTCTATTCCTACCAGGGAGCAGGCTTTTCCCAGGCCATCATCCATGCCTCTCTCAGGAGCCTTCAGATCTAGGGTTGCCTGCACACCCCTAGGGGGCTCAAGCCCTCCTGATGGTGCAGTGAGTAGCAAGCTGAGGGCCCCTGCTTTTTAAAATTGCTGTTCCTAATTACTGTGGTTGCTCAAGTTTTCTCACTGGCCAGATGGAGTCCCTGCGGGCTGCCCTTGTGTCTGTGTGATGATCTTGTGCTTGGTGTTGAGCATATCACCTTCAGAGTAACAAGGTACTCACTTAGCCTCACCTGTGTCTCCCTGTTCTAGCCTTGGCACTGAGTGTTTCTGTGAGGAGCTGGAATTTTCCATACTCTCGTCTTGTGTGTGTGTGTGTGTGTGTGTGTGTGTGTGTGCTGGTTCTGGGGCTTGAACTCAGGGCTTGGGTACTGATCCTGAGCTTTTTGCGCAAGGCTAATATTCTACCACTTGAGCCACAGCTCTACTTCTGGCTTTTTTGGTGTATAATTGGAGGTAAGTCTTAGACTTTCCTGCCCAGGCTGGCTTCAAACAGTGATCCTCAGAACTCAGCCTCCTGAGTAGTTAGGGTTATAGGTGTGAGCCACCAGTGCCCAACTTGTACTCTGCCTTTTTAAAAATAAATTTTATTTTTATAACATCTCTAGATGGGGCTGGGATGTAGCTCAATGGCAAAGCACTTGCCTAGCAAGCGCAACGTCCTGGGTTCGATCCCCAGTACCAAAAAAAGAAAAGACAAAAAAAAACAAAAAAAAAACATCTCTAGATGTGCAGAAAGATGGTGGTGCTCGTAAGAGAACTGCGTTGTTAGACGTTGATGTTCATCCCAGTCGATGAGCCAGCACTGCTGTCGTGATTAATCGTAGCTCACCCTGTGGGTATCCTTTCCTACTGTCCTTGCCTCCTGCTGCGGTCCCCAAGGGCCACCTCATCTGGCCCTTGTGTCACTCTCTGGGCTCCTCTCAATCAAGATGGCGTCTCACACTTCCCTTGTTTTTGATGGTCTCTGGTTCTTTTGAAAGGAATTGATTGTTTTAGAAATCAAGATCTAGGTGCTGGCATGTCTGCCCCTTAGCCCTGTCTGTGGATACAGTGAGGGACTTTTACATGTGTAAGCACACCTGTCCCTGTGGACTCAAGCTGACACAACGGTAGGAGCGTATGTACACGTTCAGGTGCACACACATACCTACACACACACACACATCATACACTCATGCTACTGGCTCAGTCAGTCCCAACCCTGCCCTGCACAGGGCTGTGCTGTGCCTGACCCTTCCGTGGGCCCTCATGTCTCTCTGGTGATAGTGTGGGCATGTTTTCTCAGTCACAACTGCTTCATCCATGCTCCTGTGGGTGTGGTGATGTTATTCACATGTACCATTGCTGGCACCTCCTACTTGTTTGCTTTCAATTTTATTGTTCCCACCACAGCCTTTTACTCTATGTTTTTGAATACATATAATGCTAAACATGCTTTAAAAAGATTTAAGGTTAGATTTGTACAAAAGGTTACCTTGGAAAAAAGTGAATCTCTACAGTTCTTTCTGTCCTGCTGTTCCCTCCCTCAGAGACAACCAGGTCCTCTTTTCCTGCTCTTCGCCCCAGGCTGCTGTTTGTGAGCATAGCCAGGTTTATGTGTGTTTTCTTGGTGCTCCCCTCTGCTGTGCTGGGTGACCAGCTGTGTGTGTGTGTGTCTATGCCTTATCCATCTTGGGGACCCCTCCCTCCTGTCTCCGGCCCTCATCTATGATGCTGCGGTTGCAGGTTGAAGCCAGCTTAGGCAGGAAAAGTTTGTGGGACTCTTACCTCCAATTGACCACTAAAAAGAAAGGCTGGAGGAGCTGTGGGTCAAGTGGTAGAGCACTGGCCTTGAGCAAAAAACCTAAGGGACAGCACTCAGGCCCTGAACTCAAGCCCTAGTACTAGCGTGCGCACACACACACACACGCACGCACGCACGCACGCACGCGTGCGCGCGCGCAAAAAAAAGCCAGGTGGGGTTAATTTGGTAGTTTTCCTTTTAGTTTACATAAATTCAAATTCTTGGTTAGGGTAAGAAATTAAAAATAGCTTTCATTTATTTAAGATATAGTTTTATCATGTTGCCCAGGGTAGCCTTGAACTTGGGGTTCAAATGATCCTCCTATTTTTTCTCCAGTAGCTGGAACTATAGGGATATACTACTGCATCCAGCTAGCCAGTCCAGTCTTAACCACCAGAATTGGCTAATAGTAGGACCAGTAGGAGCCTACTGAACAACTCTTGCTCTTGCTCTACCCATATGCTTGGGTGCCCTTGGCCTTTTCCTTAGAGCTCAGGGCTTAGGAGAGGTGCCTCTGTAGACTGGCAGTGGGGGAGAGAGGCGAGTAGCTGGCATGTGATTGCCACCAGGCCCTGGTCATCCCATTGAGGGCTTGGATGGTGGTCAGTAACTCAAAAGTCATCTCTTTTTGCTAAGGCTGTTTGGGCAAAAGCCAGGAAAAATGGATTTTTTTAAAACATAACAGATTTATATTGACAGAGAACCAAAAACTTGAGAAAGAATAGTAAAATTGAGAAATTAGATATTGGAATCACCTCATTGGAACAAACGGAGCCAGAAGGTGTTGCACAAATAGTACAAGTGCTTGGATTAGGGTTTTATTTTTGATCCTGTCATGAGCATCTCTGTGTTGGAGGAGACAGCTGTTCCCAGAGTCGTCCAGACGGTCCTGATTTCTGAGAGGGGCTCAGAGCTAGTTTTCCTATTCCATTTGTAGTAATTTCATTTTCATAAGGCAGCAGATTCATGTCTTCCCACCGCTGCACCTGCTCGGCACCTCTTGTGATCCAGCAGCCAGCCAGCAGTGGCTCAGGGTGGAGGCGGAGGCTGTTTTCATTGGATAGGTGTTTCAGTTTCTTTAGACTTTCTGCTGGAGATCCCAGGGTGTAGATGTTCATTTATTGAGTGACTCACCCTGGGCAGAGGGACTAGTGTGGTGGCATCCTAACCCACAATCTAAAGTCTGGCCATGGGAGGGACCAGCCCAGGCCCTGCTGAGGTCCAGATACAGGCTGGAGAGACACTGTTCTGCAGCTTGTATGTCCATGAAAGTCTGGATGTAGACTATAGTGGGATAAGATGTCATCTTTGAGGAGCAGTCTGAAAGACTGCCTTGGGTAAAACAAGGATTATTCCTTTTCCTGTGTTCAGATTGGCCTGGCACACACAACTGCAGGTTTGCCCAGGAGAGGTGTCTGCATCAGATCCTAGCCTTCTAGCGGCTAGGTGTGAGTGTGTGTGTTTGCCTTGGGGTCCAAGTGTTTGGACAGTGATGGTGGCATGGCCACTCCTCGTCTCCATTTGGATGAGCAAGGTGTGTGTGGCTGTTGGCTACTTAGAGTCTTGTCCTTGGTGCTGCTTGTATTCACTTGCAGTGCTGTCTCTGTGGTATGTCCTTCCTTGCGGATGACTCTGCTGGCGTAGGCAGGCATGGTTCTGCCCTGCCAGGTGGGGGAGGCTGTCTTTCAGGTTGTCTCCTCCCTCTGACCACATCACAGTGAGAACTGGTGTGGGTGCCTAGGTTTATGCCTGTGGAGGCCTTGACTCCGCCCAGGGGCAGGGAGCCAGCCTCCTTGTCTTGCGTTCCTCCCCCTGGGACCACTGCTGCCCATGAAGAAAGGCTGTTTACTACCAACTGCCACACGGATGTTTCTTCTGAGTAAGAGACCCTGGAGGCTTAGAGTCCTGGGGCAAAAGCAGACTGGGCCTGCTTCTTCTTGGGGCACTTGTAGACCATGGGCTCTGGGCTGGTCTCTGCAGGGCTCACCCTGTCCCAGTCTGGCCCAGTATTTTCTGTACCCACAGCCCTCTGATGTTTCTGTCTTCCTGATGTGAAATGTGGCAGGGACATCAGAGATGCCCACTCTGAATGGCACATTCCCTCTCTGAGTGGTAACTAGCACACTCTGCAGGGTGGTGCATCATAGGCTCGTTGCCCAGCCCATGTGGCCCTGCAAACACCTGGAGCTCAGTTGCATTCTTACTTTTTTTAAAAAAATAAAAAGCATAAAAGTGGCAACTTTCAAATACTTTGCTGAGTCAAGCCCTTGAGCCCTGCTTGGAAAATGACTCTTGAGGTGTAGCTGCTAACCAAGGCTTTTCCCGGCTCCTATTTCTCTCACCTGGCCGGTGACAGGGGAGGGCAGGAAGGAGGAGGGTATCACATTTGATATGATAGCTTCCCAGTTTCCAACAAAGCCACATAGAAGAAATGTATCACTGTATGCTGAAAGTTTCCTAAAACTGAAATCCACCCACGTTCAATGTTCATTGTTCTGCAAAGTTCATTATAGAGTCATAGCCTTTTCCTGATGCATTTAAGGAGAAGTTGGCACTGTACAGAGAGCTTATTGACCTGCAGGAAGATATAGATGGTTGAAACAGGGTTGGCCTCGAAGGGGTAAGCCTCTGACATCTTGAGCCAGGACAGGAGACTAGTGTAGAAGAAAAGGGGCTATGTGTACTGAGAGCACCAAAGTCCTGCTCCTGCCCCTCTTCCTTCTTTTGTCAATGAAACACTTGCCACACAGAGCTACCGTTGAGTTAAGTGTGAGCCCCGGCTGACTGGCTCGTGGTAATTCATACGTGGATGTGCTTTGCTCCATTGCAGGGAGCGTCGGCCACCTCCTTGTCCAGCTTGGCGTGCATGCACATGGTTCGCTGGGCCGTTTGGAACCCTGTGCTGGAAGGTGGCTCAGGCAGGGTGACCTTGCCCCTGCAGGGTGGGATCCGGCCCAACCCCTCGCACTGCCTGGTCTTTCGGGTGCCTGCAGCCAGCATGGGCTCTGAAGAGGTAAGCCCTCAGATCCTTCCGGTGTCGGCCCTTCTCGGTTGCATGGAGCAACTCCACTCATTTTCAGAACACAGCAGCTCATTGGTGGGCAGGCTGTTTCATCCGGGGATGCGTCCTGAAAATGGCAATTTGAGAAGTGGGTCATGGTCAGTGTTGCCATGGATCTCATCGCGTCCGGCTCATCTCTCCACCCTGGGGTCTTTGGCTGGGTTGTGTTGTGCTCACTGTTTTGTTTACACTCTGCCCACCCTCTGGACCTCAGTGTTCTTAGCTGTGTATGGAGTAGCAGGCCATAGCAGAGAGGCTTAGGTTGAAAACAAAACACCAAACTAACAAACCCAGGCACCATTAGCTCATGCCTATAGTCCTGGCTACTCAGAAGACAGATCTGAGAATTGAGCTTTGAAGCCAACCTGGGAAGACAGAACTGCAAGATTTTTATCTTCACATAACCAGCAAAAATCTGGAAAAAATCTGGGCTCAAGTGGTAGAGTCCCAGCCTTGAGCAAAAAACGGGAGTGAGACCTTGAGGCCCTGGGTTCAAGCCACAGTACTGGCACCTCAAAAAAAACACAGAAAACAAAACCCAAACCACCCCCCTCTCTTCTGACAAAACAAAATGAAACCCAAGCCGAGCTACTATTTTGAAATGAAATACCTTCTGAACTCCAATCTAGAAAACAGGCACAAGTGGACAGGGTAGGAAAGGTGTGTGTGTAGGGCCCTGCCCTGCCCTGTCCTGGGTAGTCATGGAGCATTATTTTCAGTGACCTGGGGCACCTTGGGCAGGCATGTCGGATGTCCACTCTGACCCTCTAAGGTGTGGCAGGGCCCCACAGGGCTCTTCCACTCAGCCCTGAAAATAGGGCTGTTTCAGCAGTACACATAGGAGATTTTAGTGCTCAGCTCTCATTTTTTTCAGGAAGGGGATTGTACCTGCTATTTCAGTGTGTTATGTCTGTGCTGACTCTAGCGACAGATACTATTTTCAGTGTTGTTATTTATGATTTAGATAATGCTTTGGGAACAGCTGATTGTGCAGCTTTTCTTACTATAAGGAATGGCTCTCAATATGGGACCATATTATACTGCATTCCCATATGGTCTAGTTGAGACCTTGTAATAGGATTGCCAGCAGAAATTCTGAAGCCATTAGCATGCTCCCTCCCTCCCCACTTCCTCCTCCTGTGTGTAGACATTCTGGTTTATCATGCTGTTTTTTTTTTCTCTCATAAAAAATGATAGATAAGGACCTTTGGTGTGTTTTATGCACCTGTCTGTACTACCATTGCTTGGCTTTGGCTTCAGGTTTTACTCTCAGAAAGGCTGCAACAGAGAGGGGCTGGTCTGAAAATTGAAGCAGGATTCTAGGGAGCTGGATAGCACTTATGGGGTAGAGCACTGAAGGGCACGTTCAGGGAGCAACCTGTAAAGTTGTTTGTAACGGTGTGGCTCTGACCCCACATAGCATGCCAGGGGTTTGAGTGCTGAGCTGTGGGTGAGGTGCCAGCCCCAGGGCTGCCTGCTGTCAGAGATGCGAAGGGCACCACACAAGCTTTGAGAATGGCCGTGAGGTGGCTGCCGCAGCCCCTGGAGTCTGGTCAGAAACTGGCCTGAACCTAGCAGGGTTGATTCTGCTAGACAGAGCCCCCTGACATTTGTTTCCTCAGGGAATTGAACCAGCCTGCGTCTCATACATAATATTCAGCATGACCATCATACAGTCTAAAATTAATTGGCATACCAGGAACCCAGAAAATCTCCACTTGTGCTGAAAAGACTTCTAACAGACACCAACACTGAAATGACACAAATGTTGGATTATTGAAGACTTTAGAGTATAAAAGTGCTGTAGGAAATAGTAGCTAATACACTCGAAACAAATGGAAAGACAGAAAATCTTAGTAAAGAGAAGACATAAAGATGCATCAAATGGAGCTTTTAGAATTGAAAAAGTAACTGAAATAAAAAATGTACTACCTGGGCCCCATAGCAGAATGGAAAATGGCAGAAGAGTCAGTAATGCTGAGGATAAATCCAGCCTGAATCTGAGGATAAACCAGTAGAATTGCTTCAGTCTGAACTAGAGAGAAATTGATTGGAAGGCAGTGGAAGAGCTTCAGTGTTAGCCTGTGGGACAAGACCCACGAGTCTAGCATCCGTGCTAGAGAGCCTCCAGAGAAAAGCAGGGCACAGGGCAGAAAAGAAATAGTTGAAGATACAATGATTGAAAACTTGCTCAGTTTGGGAGAGGATGTCAGGGGCATACAGTCTGAGAAGGTCAGTGAACCTCAGGGAGAAATACAGACATCTGCAGCCAGACACAGCATAACTGCTGAAGACTGAAGATAAAGGAAAAGAAATCTTGAAAATAGCCAGAGAAATGGCACACTACTTACACAAAAACAGGCCGCTGATTGCAAACCACGGAGGCCAGAGGGAAAAAGAAACAGCGTCTCAAAATCACTAACAAGCCAGGTACAGTGGCTCTGGCCTGTAACCACAGCTTCGCAGGAGGTGGTGATCGGAGGATGAAGCTTTGAGACCACACTCAGGAAAAATGGTAGCAAGATCCCCATCTCAGTAAATAAAACAGGCATGGTAGTTCCTGCCTGTGACACTAGCCATTGGGAGGGAATAGGTAGAAAGATTGCCATTAAAGGCCAGCCCTGGACAAAAACCAAAACCCTGTGAAAAAAAATAAAGCAAAAAGGCCTGTGAACATAGCAAACATGAGGCCCTGAGTTCAAATTCTAGTACTGTTAAAAAACAAAACGAAAAAGTACTGGTAGCAAAAGGCCTTGGAACCCAGAATTAATTCTATGTCCAGCAGGAGCCACACAAGAATAGACACGCTACATTCTCAGACGGACTAGACTAAGAATTTATCAGCAGCAGACAGCTTCTGGAAGAATTGCTAAGGAACGAAGGGGATGGAGCACTTAGAAATGTGGAGCGGCAGGAATGGTGAACAGAATAATCTCTTCTGTTCTTGAGCTCTCTAAAATACACTGGAAGGTTGATGTACGCGTTTAACCAAGTTTTTCAGGCATGTAGCTATAAAACAGCGGTGAAACGGGGGAGAGGAAGCCTGGATGGCTTCCACGTGTAGTAATAACACAGGTCCCCCTCAGACTGATCCTTCCGTGGCCACTGAAAATAAGATACCAAGAGGCAGTTAAAACCCAATAAATGGATAAGTGAAATTATTTCAAAGAATGAAGCAAAGGAGAAGCAAAGAGAGGGCAGGAATTAATACAATAGCAGTTCTGAAGCCAAACATGCCAGTACTTCCATTAACTGTAACTTACCCCACACCCTTGTAAAGTTAGAGATGCCAGGACCGAATGAAAAACAAGGTCCAGCTGCATCCTGTCTGCCTAAATGACTTAAATATCGTGATATGGGATTAAAAGCAAAAGAGTGGGGAATGTTCCATGCAACCACTAAAAGAAAACTGGAGGGGCTACATTAAGATGACCAAAGTCAACTCTGAAGCAAAGGAAATGCCAAAATTAAATATGTGCAGACGGCACACCCGAGCAGTCTACCCTTAGGGAATGAAAGTGGAGGTTCAACAGAAAGCTGTACACCTTATTTGGTGCCAGCTGTTCCTAGTCAGCAGCCTGGAGAGAAATAGCACAGATGTTCCTGATGGCTGTGTCAATGTCCTGTGGTGCACCTAAGCGATAGAATACTGATAGAGTAGGGACCAGCCGTGATGCGGGCACTGCAGTGTGGATGAGCCCATTGCCTCACACACACACAGACACACAGACACAGACAGACACACAGACACGCACACCACACAGACACACACACACACAGACACAGACACACACACACACACAGACACACAGACACAGACAGACACACAGACACAGACACACACCACACACACACACACACAGACACACAGAAACACCACACACACATAGACACACACAGACACACACACACACAGACACACACACACAGACACACGCACACGCACACACACGCACACACAGACACACACCACACACACATGCACACACACAGACACACATGCACACACACACGCACGCACACACAGACACACCACACACATGCACACCACAGACACACGCACACACACAAACACACACACACACACAAACACACACCACACAGACACACACCGCACAGACACCACACACACACATGCACACCACAGACACACCACACACACACAGACACACACGCACACACACACACAGACACACACCACACAGACACATCACACACACACATGCACACACCACACACGCACACACACACAGACACCACACAGACACCACACACACATGTGCACACACCGCACACACGCACACACACAGACACACACCACACACACGCACGCACACACACAGACACACACACACAGACACACGCACGCACACACAGACACACACCACACAGACACACCACACACATACATGCACACACCACACACACGCACACACAGACACAGACCACACAGACACCACACACATGCACACACACGCACGCACACACAGACACACCACACACGCACACAGACACACACACAGACACACACCACACACACGCACGCACACACAGACACCACACACACATGCACACACACGCACACACACAGACACACACGCACACACAGACACACACACACGCACACACAGACACCACACACACACATGCACACACCACACACACACACACAGACACACACCACACACCACACACACACATGCACACACCACACACACACAGACACACACCACACAGACACCACACACACCACACACACACACACACACATACACACACCACACAGACACATGCACACACCACACACACGCACACACACACAGACACACCACACACACACAGACACACATACACAGACAGACACACACACACCACACAGACACCACACACACCACACACACACAGACACACAGACACAGACAGACACACAGACACTCACACCACACAGACACCACACACACCACACACACACAGACACACACCACACACACACGCACACACACACACGCACACACAGACACACACCACACAGACACACCACACACACATGCACACACCACACACACGCACACACACACAGACACACGCACGCACACACACACACCACACAGACACATGCACACACCACACACACGCACGCACACAGACACACACCACACAGACACACCACACACACATGCACACACGCGCACACACACAGACACATACCACACAGACACCACACACACATGCACACACCACACACACAGACACACACACAGACACACCACACACACACACGCACACACACAGACACACACACGCACACACACGCACACACACAGACACACACGCACAGACACGCACACACAGACACACCACACAGACACACCACACACACAGACACACACACAGACACACCACACACACACACATCCACACACCACACACACGCACACACACAAACACAACACAGACACAACACACACACATGCGCACACAACACACACAGACACACACACACAGACACACCACACACACACGCACACACACAGACACACACACGCACAGACACACTACACACACACGCACACACAGACACACACCACACACACGCGCACACACAGACACACACCCAGACACACACCACACACACACAGACACACCACACACACAGACACACACACATGCACACACACAGACACACACCACACACACAGACACACCACACACACAGACACACACACATGCACACACACAGACACACACCACACACACAGACACACCATACACACACGCGCACACAGACACACACCACACACAGACACACACCCAGACACACCACACACACACACACACACCACACACGCACGCACACACAGACACACCACACACACACATACACACGTCAGTATTAGATGTTAATTACAATAAATCAGTGTGATTAATACATTAAAATACCCTCCTGCTTGGGCACATGCTATTCTGTCATAGTTTGCTCTTCTGGGGTTTTAGTGCCACACAGCTTGTTTCCTGGAGGTGGTTTGTGGGGGGCTGGGGTTGTCCTGTGAGTCCCTGGCTGTGCTGATGAGGGGTCCATTGCAGGTGGAGCAGGTGGACCTAGGAGCCGTCCACTTTCAGTTCTCGCTGAGCACGGAGGAGCGCCTGGACACCCCCACTGAGCATGCCAACGGCCCCAAGGCGCAGGGGCGGCTCTCCAGGAAGCCACCCATGTCCCCTTCACGTAAGTGCTTCCAAGAGCGGAGGCTTCCAGCACGTAGCTTCATGTCCCCTGCTCCTCGGGAAAGTGCCTGGCCCATTCATTCTCTCCCTCACGAGGTCGCTGCTGCATGAGGCCTTCACTGAGCCCCTGGGCTGCTCTTTTGGTGGTGTGAAGATGTGTGGCCGGGCTCTTTGTCACCTGTGCTTCAGTGATGAGTAGGCTCAGTCACTTGGTCAGCCATGTGCCTGTGGATTGGTGATGCCCACGAGGGTACTTCCTGGCCAGAGGGATCTACAAGCCTGCCTGAAAGCCATGGGCTGCCAGCCCTGTCTTGTCCATTCATCTAGCTGTCTTCTCACCCTACAGCCTGTCAGACTTGGAGACTAGTGGTTTCAGAAGTCCTAACGGGGTGCAGATGGAGGGACAGCCCTTCCCTGCAGGTGGCCAGAGGCTTGTGGGTGGGGGTGAGGGGTGAGGGGTTGAGGAACGAGTGCAGATGATCAGCTTAGCATTCTGTACAGTATATGTTTAGGGCCTCCTAGTTTGGACCTGAGCTCTGACACACTTCTGGGCATTGGGGGAAAGTTACAAGGCAGTGTTCAGGAAGTCAAGGCACCAAGCCTGGGCTCTGCCATTCTGGAGTTCTGAGCACAAAGTATCCTGGTTCTGGCACTGAAAGTGATGTTCTTCACGAATCAGGTGAGATTCTTCTGGCTTGCAGATGCCGATTATGTTGAATTGGGTCCTTTGGTTCGTGGAGAGCAGCTTAGTTCTTGGGCCTAGAGCTTGATCTGCTGGCCTTGGTTCTCACGGTCTTCTGGGATTGCCTGAGGTCTGGGAGTAGGTACCAGAACTGAAGTGGCTGCTTTGAGACACACCTTGCTTGCATTCAGGGCCTGGGCACTTCCCCCAAGCTTTTTCACTCGCGGCTGGTGCTCTTCCACTGGAGCCACAGCTCTGCTGCTAGATTTTTGGTGATTAATTGGAGATAAGAATCTCACAGACTTTTCCTGAAGGGGCTGGTTTTGAACCTCGATCTTCTAGTTTTAGTTTCCTGAGTAGCTAGGATTACAGGTGTGAGCCACCAGCGCCGATTCTTTCTCATTTTCATAGAAGCAGTGAAGCCTCTTTCAGTTTTTGAATCTTGTGCTTAGCAGGTATTCTTAGGACTGTTTATCCCCTCTCCCCCATGTATATCAATGCTCCATCTTATATAAGAGGCACCGAAATGTACAGCACCCCTTGTACCTGAGGGGTTGCCAGAAAGTCGACTGGAACCCCTCACGGGGGTGGGCGGCAGGCATGCATTTCCTGTCACAGTCATTTCAGAATAAATTTCCATGTTATTTGAAATACACTTTTAGCTACTTTTATTCCTTGTTTGGTAATTTTAATACATTTGCCAGTCCCGATCGTTTCTTTTTTTTTTTAAGTCTAGTTTTAGTCAGCGCATAATGTGTGTGCGTGTGCACATGTGCGCAGTGTGATGTTTCAAACACGTGTTCATAGTGTCATGCTCTGGTCTTTTCAGCATTCATCATTTCTGCATGTGAGAGCCCGGGGAGCCCCTTGTCCAGCTTCTCTGGAGCCTGTGCTACGTTGTGGGCTGTGGTTGTTCTTGTGCAGCGGCTCCAGGCATTGCCCTCCTGCTTGGCTTGAGAAGTCCTGCTTGGTGAGAAGTCACCCAGTGCTCTGCTTCTCATATACGGCATTTGTTTTGGTGCCAGTTCTGAGACTTGAACTCCGTATCCCTGAGTTCCCTTTTGCTCAAGGCTAGTGCTCTCCCACTTTAGCCTCAGCTCCACTTCTGGCCTTTTCTGAGTAGTTTATTGGAGAAAAGATTCTCACTGACCTTTTTTTTTCCTGGATTGGCTTCAAGCCAGCATCCTCAGATCTCAGCCTTCCGGGTAGCTAGGATTACAGGCTTGAGCTACCAGCACCCGGCTATTATAGGGCCTGTTGATGAGCTGAATTCTGTCCTTACTTGGTCTGAATTCTCCTGTCTCTGCCCATCTAGTAATTTGTGACTAGATTCCAGCTAGTAGAAATTTTACCCAGTTATTGGGTACTGACCAATTTTGCACTTGAGAAGTATCTTTTTTTTTCTTTTTAACTTAGCCAGTGGTTCACTTTATGTTAATCTTTATCTTTCATTACATATAATGAGAGGTATTCTTCAGTATTGAGAATGGTTAGGTTCTTCTGGGTCTTGCTATTTAGATCTGTTGTGTGGGGCCAGATCAACCCTAGTCTGGGGGTGACAAGATGCTTTAGGCACCCACGATTGAGGAGGTGTGGTTTGCTGGTGGCAGGTGTTGGGCCGGGCCCTGTGGACACCATTTCTATTTCTTGTATTCCTTCCTTCCCCAGTGTAGGCTGTTTCCTGCTGTGCCCCCTCTTGCAGACTAGCGAGCTCCTCAGTGTTACCCTGGTCCATAGCGCTCTGTGCACCTTACCCTGTATGCTGCTCTGCCCCTCACCTGTCAGCTTCCATGATCGCCCAGACTCTCCTCTGTCTTCTCCATGGTGGTCTTTGTGCTCTGACTGGACCCTCCCTTCCCTGGCCTGTGGGCATGTTGGACTCAGGCATTGGGGCTGTCTCGGGGATGCTGGGTTTTTCTTCTTTCTCATTTGTTCCAGATGAAGAGGTCAGTCTGGTTACTGTCCCTCCCACCCTGCTGCTGAGCTTTCCTCCCTGGCTGATGGTTCGGGGCTTCAAGCCTTTCCTGACCTGGTGTTTTTTTTTTCCCCCCACTGCTCTGACTCTTGGCTTTCTAACTGGAGTGAATTTCCTTCATATACTGCACGCAGTTTCCTTTGGGATATATGCTGTTTATTTCTTTTTTGTGTGTGAAAACAGTCCATAGTCAGAGATAGCCAAGGCAGTATGGGTGAAGGGTGGCTGTGTCTGTCAGTGTGCAGGTGGCAGGACTGAATGGCGTTGGGCCGGCACGGGCACAGAGCGGGACACAGGAAGGTGACCGTGACAGCACACAGGCAGATGTGTGACTTTCCTCTCGCTGCTCTAGCAAACCACAGGCTCAGCCACTTAAAGCAGTGCAGCTTTGTACATCCTGGCTCTGGACGTCAGGAGTCAATAGTGCTCGCACAGGCTTAAAGCAGGATCTCAGCAGGGCTGCAGTGTTCCTTCCTTGCCCTTTCTGGCTTCTAGAGGCTTCCTGTATTCCAGTAGCATCTGAAGGAAAACATCAGCCAGCCATTTCAGGCCAGCTCACCCCCGCCTTCCCCCAACCAGTGGCCATCACCCAGGGGAGGGTCTTGCCATAACTCAGCCCTGCCCTCCTATAAGCCACCGTCCTGTCCTGTGGCTACCACGCAGGGGAGAGTCTTGCTTGTTTCAAACAAACCAATCACGATCTGACAACTTACCTAAGTGGCGGGGGGGGGGGGGGAGGGGGAAGGAGGAGAGAGGGAAGGGGGCAGGGTGGTGGTGGTGGTGGTGGTGGTGAGTAAAACAGCCAGACCCTAACTATGCAGTGGACAATCGGTTTCTGGGTTCCCTTGCTCTTTTGAGCAGCCTTTGCTTTCTCTTTGAAAAATAAACTCTTTGTTGCCTTATAATACTGGGTTCTCTGCTCCCAGTTTTATGTCTGTGCTGTCAGAGAACAGGAGCTTACCGCACTTGTATAGCGATCTCAGCAATCTCCCTCATCTCCATACTGCTTCCCCAGTACTTGCAATGACTGTGGGGAAACCTTGGGCCCCCAGACCGCAGGCTGACCTCCCTGCCTCAGGGTGAGCTGACACATAGTTTCTTCCTCTGGCAATGCAAATGTACACATGTGTAGGTTCTGAGGACCAGGATGCGCCCATCTTGGAGTGGGGAGCAAATATTCTGCCTACGGCAAAGAGGAAGGAAGGGCCAGCCAATCCGTGATGCTGGTGGGAATGATTGTCCACACAGGAGATAAAAAGTCCAACCTTCATTTCATATCATATACAAAACCAAACTCCAGACGGAGAAGATTAGAGAGAAAGGTTATGGAAAGAATTCCTCTAAATCAATAAGAGGAGCGGGAAGAATAATGGACAGAGGATATGAAGAGTGAATTCACCAAGAAGAAACCAGCATATCTAATAAGCGTATGAATAAGCGCTCAGTTTCGCTAGAGATGAGAGAAATGTGAAGTAAAATGAGAAGTCATTTCATTCCCCTCCTGTGGAAAATCAGCCTGTGTCAGCATGCAGGTAAACAAGGATGTGGTGAAGGAGGGACTAAACCAGTACTGGGGGAGTTGGGGCTGGGAAAAAAGTGAGATCCTAGCTCAAAAATAGTCAGAATAGCAATGTTGAAATTACTGCAGACATGGCTCAAGTGGTAGCGTGCCTGCTTAGCAAGTTCAAGTACCCAAGTTCAAACCCAGTAATGGTGGTGGTGGGAGGGAGGGGGAACACCAGCTCTTATTTTGCTTCTCTGATACCTTGTTCTGTAAGTTTCCAATTTTTTTTTTCTGTTGGTCGTGGGGCTTGAACCCTGGGTCTGGGCATGGTCCCTGAGCTCTTCAGCTCAAGACTAATGCTCTACTCTAATTTTATCTTTATTTCAAGTTAATTTACTGATTCTGTCTTCTCAATCTGTTTGTAAAAATATTGAATGTTTATCTTACTTTCCATTTGTCTTACTTAATAATAAAAACATTGTAAGCCGAATTACATATGAGATTGGGGAGGACCTTAGTTCAAGGCCAGCCCTGCCCCCCCCCAAAAAATGTTAGAAAATTCCATCTCTAAAACAAGCCAGATACGGTGGAGCATTTCTATAATTCCAGAAATGCAGGAAGCAGAGGTAGGAAGATTTGTATCCAAGGCTAGCCCTACCTAGATCAAGCCCAGGGCCTGGTGCATTCAAAATGTGAGCTGTGCAGCCAAAAAACCCTCAGCTTTTTTTTTTTTAAATCTAGAAGTATTTTTAAATGTCTGTATGTAAATATGTGTGTGTGTGTGTGTGTGTCTGTCTGTCTATCTCTACTAAACTTTTCTTGCATTTCCTTATGAAAATG